CTGGGTTCCTGGCAGAGGAGGGATCTGATCTTACTCATTTTGCATCCCCAGGGCCTAGCCCAAAATCTGGCACAGAGTAGATGCTCAATAAATGTCTGCTGGATGAGAAAGCTTTTAGCAGGTAGAGCAGTGAGCTGACACTCCAGGGAAAGCGACCAGCAGAATCAAAGACTGGAGGGTCTGTACAGTGAGACCAATGTCAAAGGTACAAGAATGTGGAATATGCTGAAGGCTGAGGGCTTAAGAAATGACACTTTGAACACTTTAAGGCAATGTCTTCACTATATTTAATTACTTTGTTAAATATATATTTTATTGATTTTTTATAGAGTGGAAGGGAGAGGGATAGAGAGTTCGAAACATCCATCAGCTGCCTCCTGCTCACTCCCCACTGGGGATCGTCCCTGCAACCAAGGCATGGCCCTGACTGGAATCAAACCTGGGACCCTGGAGTCCGCAGGCCGATGCTCTATCCACTGAGCCAAACCAGCTAGGGCTTCACTATTTTTTGATAGCACCTGCATATTCTAGTCTCTCACACTTCTTGGTCTGGTACTCCGTACAGTCCTAGTAAACTAGGGAGGATAGTGACAAAGATAGACTCAGCCGGAATAAAAAACAGCCTACACAGGCTGGCCCGACTGGAGGAGCGCCTTGAGGGATGTGGACAATCCATTCAGCTGCTCGAATCAGCTGGATCATTTCTGAAGCTCAACAGAGTGACACGTGTCATAAGAAGGCTGCCTCAGATGCTGAGATACCCCAAGTTCTAAGGGGTCACTTGGACTTGAAAACAACTTGTGCAAATGACCAACAAATGCACTCAAGGATAACAGAGCCTTTATTCCAAGACTAGGTTCTCTCAGAAGCCTGAGATTCCCTAAGAAATCAAACCAGTACTTCTCCCATGGAGAGAGAGCACCCAGAAGAGTCCAAGGGCACCACACGGAAGAAAACAGGATTAACATGAACAATTATGAGGAGGGAACATGCTGTTTAAACGGAACCATAGACAGGGAAAATTTTCAGATTCAAATTTGGCAAGACCGAGATAATGTACTTAGTAAATAACAGGGAAGTACAAATTGCTTTAATGATTCATATGCTCTGCCCCAGAATAACAGCTCAGTGATAATGCTACCCTAAGTTACTGCCTCTGGTTCCAACTCATTGTTATGTTGAACAGTTGGTCTACGCTGCTAGATGCTACAGGGAAAAAGAGAGCAGTATCTTAATATATATATAATGTATATAATTTTTTAAAATTGATTTCAGAGAGGAAGAGAAAGGGAGGGAAGGAGAAACATCAATTGTGAGAGAGAGTCATTGATCGGCTGCCTCCTGCATGCCCCACACTGGGGATCGAGCCCGCAACCTGGGCATGTGCCCTGACTGGGAATTGAACCTGTGACCTCATCAGAGGTTGATGCTCAACCACTGAGCCAGCCGGGCAAGAGCAGTATCTATAAAATGGAATACCTGCAGCGGAGGAGCTCACGATGTGAGGGTGGAACTTGAGGCCATATCCAAAACCTTACACCAGTAACACAAGGCTGCAAATGCTGAGTGAGAGAGGAAGAATAACTGTGAAGAAAGCGAGACGCAGACAAGCAGAAATGAGAGTATGAGGTAAGTGGGAAAACAGCGGTACAGCCCAAAGGTGCCTCATGTTAGCTAAATTCCAAGTTTGAACTTCACACATAGGTAATGTGTAGGGTAAACAAAATTTATAGTCCAAGTTTGGCTCAGTGGATAGAGTATCGGCCTGCGGTCCTGGGTTTGATTCCAGTCAAGGGCATGTACCTATGATGCAGGCTCCTCCCAGGCTGGGGTCCTGGTCGGGTCTCGTGCAGAAGGCAACCAATTGATGTGTTTCTTTCACCGATGCAGGCTCCTCCCAGGCTTGGGCCCTGGTCAGGGGCTCGTGCAGAAGGCAACTAATCGATGTGTTTCTTTCACATTGATGTTTCTCTCTGTCTTTTCCTCGCTCTTCCTCTCTCCCTAAAAACCAATGGAAAAATATTGAATGAGGATTAACAACAAAAAAGTATAGTCCAAAAGAGATATTCTCAGAGTAATGGGGGTGCTGAAATATAGTAATAGGTGGCAAAGGCGTAAAGGAGGCACAGACTGCACGCTGCAGGGCAACAGTCACCCTAGCGACAGGGAGCCACTGGATGAGCTTCTGTATTAGGTGATGACAGTGGCAATAGAAGGATGGGGGCAAATGCAGAACGAATAAGTGACCAAATGCAGTGGGAAAATGAAAACTCTATGTGAATGTGCCTTCAAAGAAAAGGTGAAATTGGGGTGGGGGTGGGGGGGCGCGGAGAAGCTTGTAGGAACTGCTATGAGCGTAAGTTGAAAGATGGGCCAGTCAAGTACAAGTGTCCAGTGGGACAGAGACCTGGGACCAGAACTGAGGACAGGCATTGAAAATACCATTTTGGGCCCTGGCTGGTTTGGCACAGTGGATAGAGCGCCGGCCTGAGGACTGAAAGGTCCCGGGGTCGATTCTGGTCAAGGGCACATGCTCGGGTTGCAAGCTCGATCCCCAGTAGGGGGTGGGCAGGAGGCAGCCGATCAATGACTCTCTCTCATCTTCATGTTTCTATCTCCCTCTCCCTTCCTCTTTGAAATCAATACAAATATATTTAAAAAATAAAATACCATCTAGACCCAATAGTTGGGACAATGAAGTGGATTAGTAACAGCCAAGAGATGATCCCAGTGTCAAATTCTCATTTGAAGTTTTATTCTTATTCTTTTTGATTCCGTTCACTCGTAATGGATCCTAGTAAGCCTTCCCAGATCTCAGAGAGCTTATAATTCCATTAAAACACTAAATTAAACATCTCTGGTAGTTCTTACATTTTCAAAGAGCTTTTCATTATACTTACAAATACAACCTCCCAGTTTTAAGTCCTATGCTGTAGCACTAAACTAGAGAATATAAAAACTGGGAAAGAATACCTATTGCCATGTATTTTTTATTTTTTATTTATTTTTTAAAAATATATTTTATTGATTTTTTACAGATAGAGAGTTAGAAACATCAATGAGAGAGAAATACCGATCAGCTGCCTCCTGCACACTCCCTACTGGGGATGTGCCCGCAACCAAGGTACATGCCCTTGACCGGAATCGAACCTGGGACCTTTCAGTCCGCAGGCCGGCGCTCTATCCACTGAGCCAAACCGGCCAGGGCCATATATTTTTTATTATTGGCTAGTAGAGCAATTCAATATTAATACATGACTTGATTACTTTTCAGGGAAATGTATTTGTTGCTTCCAACTACAGCATCCAGCAAAGGAGGAAAAACACTAATTTCACAAAACTGGGTGTGAAAATATGCAAGTGAGAAAAAATATTAACGTTTTCTTCCCCATGAGTACATGAGGAGAAAGCTGGACGGCGGAGGGTGAGAGGACAAGGAAGTTTACCCTCGGGCAGCTGGGGTCCCAGAGGAGTCCTCGGAGGGCTGGCTTGTAAACAGCCAGGGCACGAATGCTGGGAGCAGCTCCCCAGCCTCTGCAGGCCATGAGGAGGGGAAAGTGGGGGAAGTAGCCATTTTGTGCCACCCCAACACGGGGCTATTTTACGGCGCTCTGCTCTGCTTGGCTCCTGAGAAAACAGAAGCCTCCCAGACAGGTCCAAGGAAGCACTTGTTAGCTGCGACTTGCCAAGTTTCTCCCTCTGTTGGGCTCATTAAGAGCCCATATCCAAAGCTTGAAGGCTAAAGCCTTGTTAATGGCTTCAGGATGGCACAGTTCTCCACAGGGGAGGCCTTCAGAAGATCAATTGTCCCTATTCCCATTCCATTAGCATTCAAGTATGAACCGATTCCCTCTTTAGTTGAACAAACAGAGAAAGAGTGCATTTGGCCCAACACAGAAAACTTGCTTACTTTGAGATTTCACATTAATATAAGAAGAAAACAAGGAGCCCTTAGCTGGTTTGGCTCAGTGGACAGAGCGTCGGCCTGTGGACTAAAAGGTCCCAGTTTCGATTCCAGCCAAGGGCACTTGCCTGTGTTGCGGGCTCGATTCCCGCTCAGTAGGGGGCGTGCAGGAGGCAGCCACTCAATGATTCTCATCATTGATGTTTCTCTCTATCTCTCTGCCTTCCTTTCTGAAATCAGTAAATATCCTATATAATAAAAGCCTAATATGCTAAGTGGCCTGTCATCTGGTTGGCCGTTCAACCAATCAAAGTGTAATATGCTAATGATATGCTAAGGCCACTCAATTGCTTGCTATGACATGCACTGACCAACAGGGAGTAGATGCTCTGACCGGTAGGTTAGCTTGCTGCTGGGGTCCGGCCAATTGGGGACTGAGCGAGAGAGGCCGGGCACACCCTGGAGCCTTCCTGTCGTCCCTCCCTGGCTGGCCAACCTCTTGTATACATATATTAAAAAAAAGAAGAGAACAAGGAATTAAGAGTATTTTGTGATTCAAACACAATGGCTTACCCTACTCTCCCTAACTGCCTCGACAGTAAAAGAAGAAACATCTGGCTTTGCTTTTAATACTGGAAACCTTGCCTCCTGAGGTTTGCAGAGCAAAGCCAGGAACTTAAGGTCCAGGCAAATCCTGGTTTAAAGGAGACGTGCTTGCCCTCCAGCACCTCCCTCCTCCCGCCTCCAGGCAGACAGGGCTGCAAATGTGTCAAGTGTGGGAAAGGTTAGGAGTCTACAGCAGAGTGAGACTTTCTGGACCTTTAAGCAGCACTAGCTGGGTTTACACCCAACTGAGTCACACAGTGAAGAATTTTGTGACTAAGAGACTTCCTATGAACGTCAGTGGCCAGTCTGACATCACAAAAACAAAAAGAAACACAACAAACAAAGAAACGGTTGGTAGTGTGAGGACAATCTTCACAGCGCAAGGACTGGTCACATGGCAGCCTTTATCTCCCCAGGGGGCGCTGGGAACCAGGACTGAAAGGCAAACTGCAGAAAGCTTTCCCGACAAACACAAGTCAGGGATAAAGGGTTCAATATGCAAAGTCTTTTATTTAACATTTTAAAACGTTAAAACTTCCGACCACCTCCGTATGCGCCATTCCCATTAGAAGGAGGAACGGTGGCTTCAAACTCGGGCAGAGCTGCGTGTTCCTTACAGACTCTGTAGGCACTTTAGAAGTGAAGCTTGGCTTCAAAATACAAACACTGGGGGCTTTGGCTCAACCTTTTAATATAAAAAATCCACTGATGTACAAAAATGCGAAAGTGGGACAATGACAACATATGAAATCCTGTGATTGAGAGTCCCCTGGAGAGCGCCCAGTGGGGCACGCACACCTGCCCATGCGGACTCTGGGTGGGGACATAAACGAATGCAAACCAGTGCTCCCAGGAGGGGCCAGCATGTGTGCGCGCCACTCCACCAGCCACGGACCAACATCTACTGCAAACATCAGTAACACAGAGTACGGCACCTCCCAGGGACAGCAAGGCAGCTTCTTACTCACGATGAACCAGCACGAATAGGCCCAGCAGAAAGAGTACTGCATACTGGAAGAGAAACAGCCAGTCAGGGGAGCCTACGGGCTCTCGAGTCCTCAGACCTAACAAATAAACCGGCCTTTGTGACCAGAATACAACATTCAACTACCCAATTAGTCTTCTCTTTTAAGGGTCCATTTAATAGTTCCCAAAAGATCACATTTTTAATGAAACATAAAGTACAGGATCTTTTATTTTTTTTAAGTCTTTATTGCTGAAAGAATTACTGACACCACCCCCGCCACACACACACACATGTTGACCTCTCCCAGCTCATCCCTAGCCCCCACCCCAGGCCTTCACCCCCCAATTGTCTGTGTCCATGGGTTATGCATATAGGCACACAAGTTCATTGGTTGATCTCTTCCCACCTGCCCTCCCTCCCCTGCGTTCCCTCTGAGGTTTGACAGTCTGTTTGATGCTTCTATGTCTCTAATGTACAACAACAACAACAAAACACACGAAAAAAAACAAAAATAGATCCAGAGACATAAAGTATAGGCTCTTACCTTAAACTTAGGATAGTCATTCATGAGGATTGTCACAATCCCAATATAAGGAACAAATCTAAACAAAGAAACAAACAAAAAATTGATTGTCAAGAACTTCCTATGTAGTTATTATTTACTGAGCATTCTCAGAATCTTCCACAGAAAATTAATTTCCAGTTCACAGAGTCCATTTGTATATACCGTTGTCCTATAGATCCTTTCAACAGCCCGGTAATAGGGAAGTTAGGAACATCGCCATTCTACGGATGAGGAAACAGGTGCTCAGGCCCATGGCACATGGCTCCTGCGCAGAACCAGTACCGGATCCGAGTTTAGGCAACTATTTGGTGACTCTAATTCTACCTGCTGACTCAGTGCTGGGGGCTGGGTTGTCCTCATAACCTTTAGGGACTGTCAAACTAGTTGGGGAGACAAGGTAAACACAGCCAGGACATTACAAGGTACTTCATGCTAAGTGTCCGAAAAGTGAGTGTAAGAGCCCTAGTCCAGTACTTAAGATTTCCTCACCTCTCCTATATTAACCACCTGTAATCTGGCTTTGGCTCTCTTAATCCTGGAACTTTCTAGAACAGTTGAAATCACTGTATGCAGACCAGTCTCAGCTCCAACCTTCCTTTATTCTGCAGCATTTGACTTTGATGCCCACAAACTGATGTTTCTTTTCTTTTTTTAAAATATATTTTGAAATAGAAACATCAATGAGAGAGAATCATCAATTGGCCACCTTCTGCACACCCCTACTGGAGATCAAGCTCGCAACCCAGGCATGTAACCTTGGCTGGAATCAAACCTGGGACCCTTCAGTCCACAGGCTGACGCTCTATCCATTGAGCCAAACCATCTAGGACAAGTTGATGTTTCTTAAAATCTAGACTTCCTCTGTCAGAATCACTGGAATAGCTTGTTAAAAATGCAGATCATGCCCAGTCGGTGTGGCCCAGGGGTTGAGCGTCGACCTATGAACCAGGAGGTCATGGTTCGATTCCGGGTCAGGGCATATGTCCGAGTGGCAGGTTTGATCCCAGTAGGGGGTGTGCAGCAGGCAGCCAATCATTGACATTTCTATCTCTCTCACTTCCTCTCTCTGAAATCAATGAAAACATTAAAAAATGCAGATCTTTGTATCTTTTCCAGATTTACTGAGTCGGAGCATCTCTGGAAGGCGGGCCCTAATGATGCCTCTGCACACCTAAGTATAAGAAGCATGCTCTGGCACATGACATGCATGGAACAGACATGTGGTGGCAAACATTATCCCTTGGAGGGCCCACACTTTGGTTTCCAGCCTGGGACAACCTCTAAGAGCTGAAAGTAACAGTCAGTACAGAATGGCACAGCTCAGCTAGGAGGGTAGAGAGAGGATCTCTGTATTTTTTTAAAATATATTTTTTTATTGATTTCAGAGAGTTAGGAAGAGGGAGAGAGAAACATCCATGATGAGAGAGAATCATGGATCGGCTGCCTCCTGCAAGTCTCCCACTGGGGATCAAGCCCGCAACTCGGGCATGTGCCCCTGACCGGAACTGAACCTGGGACCTTTCAGTTCGCAGGCCGACGCTCTATCCACTGAGCCAAACCGGCTAGGGCGGTTCTCTGTATTTTTTAATGCACATTATTTTCTTTTTAATGTAACAACTCTTTAATGTAATCTCTTATGTCTCATTTACAACACCTTCATGAAAGCAACAGCTCTCCGTAAAGGTAAATCACCTAATTTAAGAATGTAAAGGCAAATGCCTGACGGTAAAATGCAGATTAAAAGCAATAAAAGCATCTGTGATTTCTATGAAGACAGTATCAGGCTGCTAAGTCTGATCCAATGATCAGTCAGCAACCATTCTCATGGGTAGAGACTTCCGCTGTTACCTCCTTACAACACTGATGCTCAAACCACCACAACCTGTGGCTTCCAGTAATCACATAGTCTTGCCTGGGAGTTTTCCATGGACACATTCTTTCCCCTAAGGTTGGTTTCTCTTTGCCAGCCTGAGTGAAATAGATGCAACTTGATCTTGGGAGTCATATAACCAAATATAAGATAGCCTATGACAGGCAGTCCGAAGTCAAACAAAGGACTTAATGATCCGTATCACCGTTTCCCTCCCTGGACAGAGACAGCAGAGTGCACAATGCTATCGGCAGTCACCTTCAATTCAAATCAGATGCGCTTTTTCCCCTCCCTGCACAGATAAAGTCTGCTAAAGCGAGTTGGTAAAAAGCAGAAGAAGGTTTAACATAAGTAAACCAGATGCCACCCACGAGGCCACCTCCAAGCCCAGCCTGTGCCGAGTCACCATCTAGAAGGCAGAGTGTGAAGATATGGAAGTCCTGGGTGCTGATCCCAGGAAGTAGCCTCAGAAGGAAGAAGTACCTGCTGAGGTTGTGGCAGAAGATACTTTTGGCAGATGTTACAAGGGATCTATATCTGGGAAGTCTGGACTACCATAGCTGACTTAAAAAGGTTCACTGTTGCTACCCCAAAATAATCTGTTTCAAGTTAAGTATAGAGTATATTTCAAAAGCCTCATCCATGAAACTGAGTTCAGCCAATAGAGAGCTCAATTACTCTGTTCCTTCCTTATATTTTTAGTCCTCTTTTCTTTTATATTTTTACTGATTTCAGAGAGGAAGGGAGAATGATCAGCTACCTACTGCACGCCCCTACTGGGGATTTGAGACCACAACCTGGGCATATGCCCTTGACCAGAATCGAATCCAGGACCTTTTAGTCCGCAGGCCGACGCTCTATCCACTGAGCCAAACCTGCTACGGCTATTCCTCTTTTCAATGTCAAGATATCTCTATTCCCTGACCCACCAGCCTTCTCTCTTTCTCCTCTTGTTGTCAACTCTTCTTTGAGTAACAGGTCCTCTGGTAGTTTTCAACTCCCTCCCTGAATTTAGGAAGAAACACCCCTATTAAATACCTCGTTGGTTCAGTATTAATTTCATTTTCTTTTTTGTTAATCCCCACCCAACGATATTTTTTCCACTGATTTTTAGACAGAGTGGAAAGAAGAAGGAGAGACAAAGAGAGAGAAACATCAATGTGAAAGACACATTGATTGATTGTCTCCTGCACAGGGATCCAGCCTGCAACCGAGGCACATGCCCTTGATTGGAATTTAAGCCAGGACCCTTCAGTCGGCAGGCCGACACTCTAACCACTGGGCAAAACTGGCTAGGGCTGGTTTCATTTTCTAAAATTGTTTTTACTACACGTTACGACATGAATGAACCTTGAAAACATTATGCTACGTGAAAGAAGCCAGATGTTAAAGATTGCCTAGTGTAAGATTAAGATTCTGTTTATATAAAATGTCCAGAACAGGCAAACCATAGAGACAGAAAGATTAGCGGTTGCCAGGGGCTGCAGGGAAAAGGGGATGGGGAGTGACTGTAAATGAGTACAGAGTTTGCCTTCTGGGTGTGGAAACGTTCTGGAATTAGACAGTGGTGATGGCTGTGCACACCTTGTGAATATAATGAAACCCAATGAATTGTACACTTTAAAATGATGAATTTTATATCCCAAATATATGGGTTATATCTCAACCATGTTTTTTAAACTTGTTTTATTTTGGGCCTTGGGCTTGAAAGTGTAAAATTTTTTTAGTGTGCAGGCAGCTGTTTGAAAAAGGTATTGTTTTTAGTGCATAAAGACATTTGTACCACAGTTACAGAATGATCTGCGAGAAAGCTCTAGCCTCAAGGTCTGGGTACAGTGTGACTCTGAAATATCAGTTTAGGGTTTTATAAACACAATTTCCACAAGAGGAGGTGATATGCCCCCGTAAGTGTCAAGGTAAGTGGTGGCATAATCAGTGGAAAGTGAATTTGTGCAGTTAAGATCCTGTGCCCAGCTGTTCATGCCTCCCGGAAAGTTACTTACTTCAGAGAGTACCGGGCTATTTCATTTTTTTTATTAAAGCCACAGAAAGGTCTATATCTTCAATGTTGGAATTTTAAGAAATAACACAGTGTATAGTTCAGGTAGGGTGATGCATCTTTTATGCAAACAGGGGTCCAAGTGAGCAGACAGAGCTGCATTAAGCACCTAATGATGAAGACCAGATAAAGGAACACTGTCATACTCGTAGGAGTACAAATAAGACGCTGTGGCAAAATTTATCAAAAGCCTTAGGCGTCACCTCTGAGAACTGACTGTGAAGAAATGACTGGGCAGAAGCACTGAAACATATGTAACAAGGATGTTCATCCTAACATTGTTCAAAATTTTTAAAAATGGGGAAAAAAATGAAAGCGTCTAAGAGCAGGAGACTGTCTAAAAATGTGGTCTATCCACACAGAGGAGAAGCATACAGCTTTGAAAATGATGATATGGACATACATTTTTATTTGTAAAGATACTGATAGCCGAAACCGGTTTGGCTCAGTGGATAGAGCATCGGCCTGCAGACTGAAAGGTGCCAAGTTCGATTCCGGTCAAGGGCATGTACCTGGGTTGCGGGCACATCCCCAGTGGGAGATGTGCAGGAGGCAACTGATGGATGTTTCTCTCCCATCAATGTTTCTAACTATCTCTCTCCCTTCCTCTCTGTAAAAAATCAATAAAATATATTAAAAAAAAAAAAGATACTGATAACTCCGGGGGATGAAAAAGGTTATAAACTGTGGCCATTCTTTGCCTGTACACAAACTGTTTTCAGTATGCGCACGCACACACACACTCAGATCTACCTCCTTATACATACAGGCTAAAATATATCTATCAAAAAGTTAAGTATTTATGGAAGGAGAGCAGAAGAAAAGTGACTTTGCTTTTTGATGACTATTTTTTTCCTTATGTTTCTACATGAATCTGTAAACAAAAAGACTCAAAGAGGTTGATGAGCCGAAACCGGTTTGGCTCAGTGTATAGAGCG